AAGCGTTGCTTCATAGGAAGCCTTAGAAAGCTCAATAAACGCAAAATGGAAATTCTTTTCCAGCATCCTAAACATACCGCTCATGTGAACAACATGGCTTGACGAAAATAGGTTTAATTTGTTAGAATGGCCAACACAATCTCCGGATTTAAACCCTATAGAGAATCTCTGGGCTCAGTTGAAGAGATCTGTCACTGATGTGAATGCTTCAGCATGCAACGCACAGCAATTGTGGAAAAATGTTGTGACCAAGAGGAATCAAATATCACCACAATAATATGATAAGTTGTTACAAAGTATGCCAAGACGGATCATTAATCAACTGTTATCAACGCGATAGGGGCGCTATACCAAATATTAAAAGTTAACAACTTGTAAACTCATATTATTGATCAAATTGTTTTTGCTCTTCCTTAAATCAAAAAAATATTTTATACATTTTTTGTAATTAATATCTTTGTAACAATGGAGTTGTTTTAACTGATATAAAATGATAAAAACCTGTGATCTACCTCTAAGCATAGGCGATTTGATCAATTTAGTAAGTCCTTGTACATTCATAAACCTTTTAATAAATTTTTTTACTATTAAATAGAAGTTATAAACGAAATCCTTCTTCATATAGAATTAGAAGATTGAAAATGGAATACTGTTCAGTTATTCGATAATCCTTTTTGTGTGTATGTTTTTGAAGAATGTGATTTGACACGTGGCAGTGTACAAACCCGTTTGATAAATAGTCGGTCTTATTAATCAAATATTCAGCTGGCATCAATCACATCCCGGAATCTGACAGCCGATTCTTATAGACCCGGGATAGAAGGAGTTCCACGTCGACCCGCGCTCTCCGCAACTTTTTTCCTTTCTGGAACGGGAAAATTTCATAACGGCCTCTTTTTAATAATTCTTATTTTCAACTTACTTTCTCCACGCTTTCTTAACTTAATACGGAGTGAGCCAATTTCCTGAGTTTAACGTTTTTTCACAGATGGCGCGGCAATATATCCCAGGCCTCCCCTTTCCCCCCAAATCCTATATTTATTAGGGACTTTTCCCTTCCTATATATTACCGACTCTTGGTGACCCATATCTTATATTATATATCGTACATTGGAGGGTTTATTTATCGGCAAGAAGAGGGGGGAATCCTTTGCTAATTAGAGCATTTAACCTTCAGTATCTTTACCATTGCCACAACCAATCGTGTTGGACAAAATCCACGGTATTAATGGCCCTGAAGATAAAACTAAGCCATGGCAATTAAACGGCATCGGTGAACTTTTGATATTCTGAACGGGTTTCATTTCGCAGGGATATTCGCGATAACAGATTAACTGGTCTCGTATAAAGTGTGGACGTCGACAAACCAATTACTGCCTCTGGTCTAGTTAAATCTCTTTTTCGACATCCAATTTCATCCATTGCTTCAATATTTGATAAAACTCTTCAATATGATATCAAACTATTTGTCTTAATTTGTCTTGTAATAACGTTGTCTTATAGTGTCTTATAGATAAATAATTATATTAATAACAATATTAATTTGTTTACAATCATGCTCAGCCAATAGAACGTATGTTATAAAACTGAAATCCTATAAACCTAAACGTAATTTAGCTATATATTGAGTACGCCACGAAACATACGTTCCATATTATTTTTAAACTTTGACCTTATAATCATTGGGACCCGTTCTTTGCAGTGTCCATACCTTTTTTTTGTAGTCTGTTAATGATAACCATTTCTAAAATAACCATTTCTTCAGTAGCAATCTGTCGGTAAATTTATAAGGAAGCCTAACGGCCATGGGATTACCGATTTTAATGGAACTTATTTTATAATCAAAACGTATTAACCATGTTCCCGATGTTCTGCCAACAGTCCCTAGGAGGAAAAATTATTTTAACTAATTGAAAAACAGATTTTTGTCTTTGTTGTGCATGAATTTAAAGATATTTCAAAGAAACGGTTTTTAGGGGCGTGAAAAACGAATATCAAAGTGTTTCTTGATTTAAACTAATATATTTCAACTTAAACTGCAACAACACAAAAAGTACCTATCATTTGGGAAAATTCGAGGTACAGTAAACAAATTGTGACTGAGTGACGCGAAGAGCAAAATTAGTTAAATACTTTTTTTTTTAATCAAGACACGAAACTGATATTCGTTGTTCCTGCACTGAAAGTCCCTAAAACCAAATTTTGATGAAGATCAATTTTTTTTAAGTTACAAAATTGTTTATTACCAAATAATATATTGTAAATAGTCTCAAACATCATAGTAGATAAAAATGATAGTAGTATAGTACCGTCTTGCCTACACGTAATGACTTAAACCCCCCGCCCTCTATCTAGACATAGAACAGACGATATAAGATATATCAGGGGGTTTTTCAGGTTCATCAGGTTCGAATGCAGGGCTGTTGGATTTGAATCCCGGACTGTTACCTCACAGTGAGCACCGTGCCAACGTCTAAGCCTTTTTCGGCACCGATAAGGCTTTAAATGCTAACATTGTTGACATATCCTGAAAGAATAAAAAGTGTTACTGGTTTTAACCGTTGTAATAACGGTAAATTTCGACAAAATCCGGAGGGGTTATGAATTTTTTATACGGAACATCAGACCTCAGAGACGAAAACAAAAACAAAATATTGCCCCTGGCTAGCTCATCTGAAAAGTTTGTTTTCTAATTGATATATTCCAATAGAGCTTAAATATAAAACATTGTTCCAAAGGAGAAACACGAATATAAAATCGAACTTGGATCGCTTGGTTACCTACATATCTAAGATGGCCGACATAAAGAAGTTAAACAGAGAGTGTTGAAAAAAAGCCATTTCCAGATTTTTCAGAGTAGTAAACTGAAACGGATGAATTTTATTGAAAGGATCGTATAATCTAATTATTAAAGAAAATTACTCTTTTTTAACCTTAGGAGAGATATTTTCTTATAAATTTCATGAAGTGTGGATGGTGATTTCCAAATCGGATCCAGCGCCAATTTTATAAATCCTTTAATCTCGCTAATACACAAACCCTTAAGCCGGTTTATAAATCCGGGTCCCTCCGCGATTTCGACTCCAAATATAATAAAATCTTATTAGTATTACCAAGTTTTCCTCAAGTAGTCGGAAAATTTTTACTAATCAGCTCATCTCAAGAATGTCGGCCGGGAGGAGGAAGACTAATCAGAATTTAGCCGAGCTTCGCGCGCCCCGACAGTGGTTGAATCCTTATTAACACAATCGGCTTTGTGCCTTTTGAAAGGGCCCGCAAAGCTCCGCTGGGCCAGAGAGTGAGACGGGAATTAATTTTGTGAATCGGTGTGCGAGCGATGATAGTCGTCGAGGAAATTGAGGAACGGGTAGACAATGAAAACAGAGAACAATACAACCCTAACTCAATAACTAAATTATAAATCGCAATTTAAGATGTTTGTCTCTGGAAGAAACTCGGAGTTCGACTGTTAAATAATTTTTGTTCCAAATTATAGCTGAAAATTAACAATTTGATTTTCTTTTACAAGCAGGGCATAAGAGGGCGCAAATCTGTTAATAAATGTTTACCTTATTACATTTTGTAACCTTTTAAGAAACAAATACACTTTTCATGATGAACCGGCATTAGTGATTTTATTGACTTATTGGGTCCGTTTTCACTCGCGGGTTTGACAAACCGGTTCAGGATGAGTTTACCGACTTGCCGAGCAACACCCAGCAAGAAATAAATACATTTTTGTTTGACTTAGTTGTTGAAGTTAATAACTCAGCTGTAACATTTTATCAGTATTATTAATAAAATTATACGTAATAACTAATGATGGCTACAATCCAATGATACAATTTAGGAAAGGAGAAATTGTTTAAACAGAAGGCACAGGAAATTTAAAAAGCTCATAGTCAAGTACGGTTTTATTGTAGTTTTGCTTATTCATTCGAAAGTCTAATTTTTGACTAATTGTTGAAACATTTTAATTATAATTCGTAACAATGAGTGATTTTTCGTTAGGAGATTAAGTTCGTGTAAACGTGCATGGTTGCTCTTTTACTTTTTGTACAAATCGGAGCTTGACGAAGCTTTGAAACCTCAAAGCAATTAGTTTAATTGAGACATCCACGGATCTGATTTTCTGATTCCCAGCACTGGTCAAAACGCACGTATATTATCACTGATTAAAATCAATCGAACTCGCCGAAGGGGCAATCCGATGACACCCACGTTCCACAAATCCCTCGGCCCAAGCTAAATATAGAGACGACTCTGACGATATTTCAAGTTGAGACTTCGATGTGATTGACACCTCTGCCAAATGCCGGCCCACGGTCGTTACTTATAGACGAGGTTATCCGGATTACCACAGTTTTTTTGTCCTGCTATCAACGAATATCTGCGTCAAGATGTAAAGGGTTGAGTTTGAGCGGCATTTCTCACTCTTCACACTTTTTAAATTAAATAGGTGGACGTTTTATATGTTTTGTTGATTATTTGCATTTGCTTTCTCAGTGTCAGAAAATAGTAAAAACTGATTGCTTGAAAGTGAAGTAGTTAAGATACGTGGCACTTTCCACGAAACCTATAGCGATTTGTGGACCAGATCGTTTTCTCCCGAAACTTTGTGCAACTCATCTGTACGATTACGTTCGTTTAAGATACCTCAAAATCCGTTCCTTGTTGCTCTTTGCCCATTTTTAAGTTGTAATGAGCAAGAAAATCTTACAATGTCCAGAGAGCTTAAAACTAAAATTCTTACTTATATGAATTTAAAAGTCTTAAAGCCATAAGTGGCCAGAAACGTAAAGCAAATCACATTTTTGAAAGCCATTTTACACTACGTGTCAACGAATTTCGATAGCCAACACTGTTGGCCCAACAGCTGATTTCTCTTAGACAGATTAAAACTACATTTGATAAACGTAATGAAAAACGAATGGTAAAAAGGGTAATATTAAAAAAAAAGAATCACTCACGTGTTAAAACCATATTTTATATTTACAGTTATGTTAGCTAGCGTTAGTAGGTGTAATAGAATATCTCTTTTATTTTTGATCATTTATTTGTCTGTGAGAGTACAGAGCAAAGTAAAAGACGCAAAATTAATCGACGGACGTGATCCCACCAGAGATGAGGGTTCATTCATGGCGAGCTTGCTGCGTTACCCCGGCAGACAACTCATATGCGGTGCTGCATTTTACACCCCTACCCTGCTGATAACTGCCTGCAGCTGCATCAGCGATGCCGCATACGGAACAGAAGACGACTTTCCTGAGCAGTCTCTGGACAGTCTCCGAGTGTCAGCCGGCAGCAAGTACTACGTCGAAGTGGACGACAATTTTGTATTACTGGAAGTGGCGGAATTAATCGCTCATCCCCAATGTGAATATGATTTCTATGTGGACATGTGGAAAAAAGATTTAGGGATTGTCGTTGTTAAAAAGCCCGTGAACAGAAGCATTCCTTTGCAATACATCTCTTATCCTCATCCAGACCAATATTTGCACTCTCTGCTCAGCCTGTTTGAGGACGAAGGGTACTGGGTCGGCGGGAAGAAATCGTGCTACGTTTTCGGTTGGGGCTCCACGGGTTACATGAAGAACAGGAATGAGTTCGAGGCTTTCGATCCGATAGCGTACCTTCAAACTCGCGCTATGCAGATTATGTTTCCAGATGAGTGTCAGGAAGAATTGTGCCAAGTAAGCAATAAAGTTTGCAAATTTTGGCCAAGTTCGCAAAGGGCATTCTGCGCCATGGCCAAGGAACCGGGAAGAGGGTCTTTCTGCGACGGCGATGTCGGCTCACCATTCGTCTGTGACGGCATCCTGTACGGAATCGCGTCTTGGAACTATGAGTGCGGTACATCTGTTAAGGCTAACATAATTTATGAACTGGACATAATGTTCATCGACGCTTTTAAATATCTTTCTTCTTCTCTTTGCCACCAAACTGATTTCTTATTTCTGCTAATACTATTTGTTGCTACTATCATAGTTTGAATAAAATAAATTATTTGATCTGTGTTTCCGATTTTGTTTAAATAACCTGAATTTTGAATCACATGTCCAATATGTTTCATGTGTATAATTATAAGTAAGAAAAGGAATCTGAGTCAAAAACTTGTCACACTAATTTATACTTATTCTACGGCCAGCACTGCTCTAGTGTTACCAGAAGCCAGCGATGCTGCGAATTTCATACCGGATTACGGGCGAGGAGGTTTTGGGGACGCTAGCCGATTTGAGGCGACATGCAGGGTTCTTTGGATGAGAAGTGGGGCATGGCTTGAGCAGTAGCATTATGATGAGTTGAATGATTGGAGGGAAACTGAATGAATTCTTTATCGAAGGGAATGTCATCATTAAGGTATATAGATAATCGTTCTGAGGATTTTAAGTTGGAATGCTGGGGTTAGGTAAATATTCAATGCCTTGGTAATAGATAGCAGTAGTAGTGCTTTATATAGCCATGTTTGATTTCGTATATTTAGTTCTTGACGCTTGAATCTTACTATTTTACTTGCGTAAAAGTCGGTAGTTCCTTGCTGTTAACGTATAGCTGTTAGCAAGTCTGTTAGCATGGACGTAATTTGGGCGCATTTGGCCTCGTTCAGTATCATTTTCCACGTCTGACACTATTCTTCATTGAGCTCAAGATGTTTGTTGATCATTATGGAACGCCGGGAAGGATCAGTCGTGTCTCCGTGAATTGAATGCCCCACCTTACTTTGGCGCGTTAGAAGACTCACAGAAAAAAATTAATTGTAGTGCAATTTTTCACTTATTTTATAAAAAAAAGAGTGTTATTCATTGTCAAAAGTTTTCAGTTAATTTGTTGTAAAAATTTCATACACCAACGCTAGGTTTGTTGAAATGCGCATTATTTGGATATACGATTCGGTCCCTTTCCCACAAATAATAGAACGCAAAACTATTGACCAAATAATTTAATTTTCAAAGGAGAGTAGTTAGAACAAATAGTAGAAGGAACAGTTTGTAACAGGCTCGGATACAAGGGTAAGAAGAATGATACATTTTAATAGTTTCGAAAAACATTACGTCCAATTCGTAAATGACGTTAGTTTTAAATCTTCTGCCACAGTCGTGGTTCCAGGACACGATTCCTCGAAGCTGGCCGTCGCAGACGAAAAGTGAGCCGACGTCGCCGTAGCAGAAAGAACCTTTTGGCGGTTCCTTGACCACGGCGCAAAACGCCGAATGCATGGGAGGCTCAAAGATGCAAACTTTCTCGTTCACTGAACACAATTCAGCCTGGCAGTCTTGCATAGAAATTATCTTCATGGCGCGAGATTTAAGAAACGGCACTGGAAAAGAAGCCTTGAACCAATCCCCGTCCGTCTTGTAACTAGTGTAACCCCATCCGAAAATGTAACAATATTTCTCGCCGCTTAACCAACGCGATCTTAACTCATAAATGCTGTGCATAAAGTCGGAATGCTCGTGGTACGGCGGGTAAGAGATATAATTTACTGGGATGCTTTTGTTTACGGGTTTAGAAAGAGCGATAACGCCTAAATCTACTAGCCACATGTCTAAATAAGGATCATATGCACAATCGGGATGAACGAATGTTTCAATCACTACCAGCAACGCTGGACTACTCTCTAATGCAAGATTTTGTTTGCTGCCGGTGGCCACTCGAAACGATCCTGGCGGATGTTCGGGAAGGTCCTCATACTCTATGCCGTATTCCCCTTTGCAGACGCAACTGCAGGCAGTTGCCAGTAGGATAGGGGTGTAAAATGCAGCACCGCATAAGAACTCCCCATCTGGGTAGCTGAGCAAGCCTGCCATGAATAAGCCTTCATCGCCGATGACATCACGCCCGCCTATTATTTTTGCGTCTTTTACTTTGCACTGTACTCTCACTAATGAATAAATAAAAAATAAAAGAGTTATTCCATTATACCTACTAACTTGTACGGAACCTACCATAATTGGAATAAACAATTATTTAACACATGTTTAGCTGTTTTAAAAATAAACCGCAACTTTTTTATTTGCCCTATTTTCCCGTAGCATCGGCATTAAGTTTATCAAGGAACCTTTAAAAGAATAATTATTCAGTCTTATAAGGTTGATAATGCCTTGTTTGTATAACCGGTGATCTACCTCAAAAATCAAAGGAATCTTATTTGGTAAATAAATCACATTCAGAGGGACATGCTTCCTTAAAAATAAAAATTATATTTCATTAAGACATCAAGAATACGTTATAAAAAAAAAGAAATAAAAAAAATAAAGGGTGAACATTTGCTTACAAGCAACAATTTAACAATAATTAGATACCATAAGTATTAATAATAGGGCCCTACAGGGAGCGCGTAGGCATGCCATCCAATCTGAAGAAGGTACTCGAGCACTGCAGCGAGTTTCAGGGTCCCCTGTTCCGATTTTTACGGGAAATTGGGTTTTTTTATTGTATATAGTATGTCTCATGTGTTGTGTGTCTATATGTTTGTCTGAGTGCATGTATTTATNAAAAAAAAAAAAAAAAAAAAAAAAAAAAAAAAAAATAGGGCCTGAATGGCAAAATTGAAACAATCAATCTTGATTGTCAAAAAGGAAAAAATACCAAAAAATAAGACTATAAATGAAAATGGGCCACACAACAGAAATGATTTATATCGATAAAATTAAAGTGGATACAAATCTAATTGGACTGGTGTTCAGCTGGATTTTTTTCCTTTTAGCTTTCCTTCCAATGCCAAGGCTAGACTGAACTCCGTCCTCGCTTTCCTGGCTCTAACATAGAAGGGAGAGCCTGGAATAGAAATGATAAATGATGGAGTGAGTGTGGTATTTAATCCTTTTTAAAAAGATAGGTCCTACTCACAGTAATTTGTTTTGCAACGAACCGGATTTCGAGCCCTTTAGCTCATCATCAGGTTGAAGGACGACTTCTACAACCACGTCTCTCGACATGATTTGCAAAAGTGAACCCGCTGATACCCCCGCAAACGCGACGTTCCAATTAGCAGCTAGTTTTTTAATGGCGCTCAATTTGAACGTGCGAAACGCGGAAATTATAACACAAATAAATATGATAATAGTAAATACTGTAAGAAATTAATTGTAAATTAGTGATTAAAAATAAATGATAGAAAATTAGAAAGATACCTTAATATTATTAAATTACTATAAAAATAATAACAATTAAAATAATTAATTTAATTATTTGGGCGTTTAATATTATTTATGCACATATGTGGTCGATTTAGGCAAGTGTTCTTTTAGTCTCGTTTTTATTTCTCTACCGCTTGTCCTATATATTTAGTATCACAATCATTACAATTGAGTTGGTAAACCCCGCTTTTTGCCTACCTTGTCTTTGCCTACCTAAGTTGTCTACCTTATCTTTAGGTTTTGAGAGGATGTTTTTAAGTGAACCCGTACTTCTAAAAGCTATTCTAAAACCTTCTTGTTTAAAAATTTTACTAACTTTTTCCGATAATTCACCAATGTATGGCAAACAACGGAAATCTAATGATTCATTTGTGGTGGGGTAGTTGAGTCCTATTGTTGATTCGTTTAAAGTTAATTTTTTAGTCTTTTAACTAGCAACCTATCAATAAATATTTCTAGATACCCGTTGTTTCTTGCTAAGGTTTTAATAGTTTCTAATTCTTTTTTATAGTTAGCAGGTGTTAATGGAAGTTTTAACATGAAACCAGCAGCCTTTTGGGACCATGGGTGGGAAGAATCCGCTGGTATCATAGTGTCTATAGTTGTGGGTTTTCTATATACGTCTATTTCTATTAGGTTGTTTATTATGGACAATTTTAGGTCTAAAAAGTTGAAACAACCATCTTTGTTAATTTCCAATGTAACATTTATATTACGGTGTCGAGAATTAATTAGATGAAGGAATTCTATGAGATCCTCTAATATTCCCGACCATATGCATAAAATATTGTCTACATAGCGTAGATACAATAAGTGAAAAATTGCAGTACTGTAATTTTTTTTCTGTGAGTCTTCTAACGCCCCAAAGTAAGGTGGGGCAATCAATTCACGGAGACACGACTGATCCTTCCCGGCGTTCCATAATGATCAACAAACATCTTGAGCTCAATGAAGAATAGTGTCAGACGTGGAAAATGATACTGAACGAGGCCAAATGCGCCCAAATTACGTCCATGTTAACAGACTTGCTAACAGCTATACGTTAACAGCAAGGAACTACCGACTTTTACGCAAGTAAAATAGTAAGATTCAAGCGTCAAGAACTAAATATACGAAATCAAACATGGCTATATAAAGCACTACTACTGCTATCTATTACCAAGGCATTGAATATTTACCTAACCCCAGCATTCCAACTTAAAATCCTCAGAACGATTATCTATATACCTTAATGATGACATTCCCTTCGATAAAGAATTCATTCAGTTTCACTCCAATCATTCAACTCATCATAATGCTACTGCTCAAGCCATGCCCCACTTCTCATCCAAAGAACCCTGCATGTCGCCTCAAATCGGCTAGCGTCCCCAAAACCTCCTCGCCCGTAATCCGGTATGAAATTCGCAGCATCGCTGGCTTCTGGTAACACTAGAGCAGTGCTGGCCGTAGAATAAGTATAAATTAGTGTGACAAGTTTTTGACTCAGATTCCTTTTCTTACTTATAATTATACACATGAACATATTGGACATGTGATTCAAAATTCAGGTTATTTAAACAAAATCGGAAACACAGATCAAATAATTTATTTTATTCAAACTATGATAGTAGCAACAAATAATATTAGCAGAAATAAGAAATCAGTTCGGTGGCAAAGAGAAGAAGAAAGATATCTAAAAGCGTCGATGAACATTATGTCCAGTTCATAAATTATGTTAGCCTTAACAGATGTACCGCACTCATAGTTCCAAGACGCGATTCCGTACAGGATGCCGTCACAAACGAACGGTGAGCCGACATCGCCGGTACAGAAAGACCCTCTTCCCGGGTCCTTGGCCATGGCGCAGAATGCCC